TGCGACGCTGGCAGTAGTGTCGATGCTTTCAGTTGGGTGCTTTCAGTGGCTGGCAGCAGAGGCGACCTGGAAATTATAGTTGGGTGGACGACGAAATTACAGTGAAATGGGTGTGTGGCTCGACGGTGGTTTGTGCGGATCGAAGTTGAGGGAATCGGAGAAGCGGCAGATCTGTGGGTGTGTGGTGGATCTATGTGTGGCTGTTGTTCGAGGTTGGTTGTTGTTGTTGTTTGCTGTTGTTGGTGGCGGATGTGTGTGTTGCCGTGTGTGTGGTTTTCTCTATGGTGGTGATTTTGGTGTTATTGTTGGTTGTGATTTTGTGGTGGTTTTCTCGGCGAGGGATTTGAGGTGTTTTGTGTGGTGGCGTCTGTGGTGGTGAATCGGCGGTTGGGGTGGTGGTCGTGCTTTGTTCGGTGGCTGTGGGTGGTGGCGTTGTTTTGTGTGGTGATGGTGGCTGAAGTAGTGCTAGTTGTATGTGACCAAATATTTGATTATCTGTGACCTAAAAATTTGACAATGTGTGACTGAAAAATAATCTGTGACCAACAAATTTAAAAATATGTGACCAATGAAATTAACCATTGTTTTATCTGTGACCTAAAAATTATATAATTTGTGACCGTAAAAAATCTGTGAACAATTAATTTGAAAATCTGTGACCATGTGACCTATAAATTTTGATATGTGACTAACTAAGTTTGAAATCTGTGACCAACGAATTAAATGTGACCTATAAACTTTTTGAACTATGATCATTAAATAATATGTGACGTATAAAAATTATTATTTGTGATTGAAAAATAATATGTAACTAATTAATTTATAAATCTCTGACAGGAATGATTGCCAGAATAGTCGCCGGAATGGTTGTCGGAATAGTCGTCAGAGAAGAGTGGTCGTCAGAATGGTCGCCAGAGAAGAATAGTCGCCGGAATAGTCCCAGGAGCGGTCGGGGTGGTGCATGTGGGGTGTGTTTATTATATTATATTAGAATTCAAAAAAAAAAACCTGGTTTTTGAATTTTCAAACTATAAAATATGATTTTTGATTTGATGTAAACTAAACACCTTATTTATAAATTTTTCCCTAATACAGAACCATTGAAGCATAATGACTCTTCATCGACGAAGAATACTAGCCTGGAAATCGATTTCCAAATCGTATGATACTTGATAAATCAAGTGTTGGAGAATATAATGGATTTAAGTGATGATTTTAAACCAAATAACCAACTTACCAATCTTACCAAATATTGGACACAGTAACGGTAATGATATGAGTGAAAACACCAAAGAAAAATAATGTCAAAGTAACACCAAAATAAACGTATACAAAATCGAGGCAAGAGTTGAACTCTTT